AAAAATGGAGTATTTCTTCTCCTGATCTCTTTGCAGTATAATAAATTTGAAAGTAAATGTAAAAATTATACAAGAGCAACTAGTAATGTTGCTAGATTTTGCCATCTGAAGAGAATATATTAAAGTTTTGTTCATGTTCAGATTCAAGGAATAGCATCTTAATATATTTTTTGCACAAACAACACAAGATGCATTTGCATTATTATCTAGAGTCAATAATTAACATTATAACAATTTGAAAGGCAAATTAACTTTTATTCAATTCACTTTTCAGTATTAATGTTTGCATTTGTCGAATTTTAAGAAGTAAATGTGTTTGAAGACAAAAAAACTGTTATAATGATAAATGGTACTACTATTACAGTAAATAAAATTAAAAAATTTATAAAATAAAATATTTTGCTACTTTAAATGTATTTTTATTTGAAGAATGGCAGCAATAATACTGTATTGTATAAGCTGCATTGCTTTTGTTTATATAAAAAAAAAGGTTTATTAAAATATTATATTTAATAATTTCCTAATGACAACGTAAATTGTTTTATTCACCAGATTTTTTAAAAATGGGCCAGAGCTTGGGTATAAAAAAAATGAAGTCTTTTATTGACTTCTTTTTACAATAAACTGCATTCTGAGTATTTCTGATCCATCCTTTTTTAAACAAAAGTTTTTGTTTTCAATTGTTTTAAATTTATTGGGTTGAAATGGTTTCCTTCCTCATTTACTGTAAATACGTAATATTTATAAAGTCAGAAATGAAAAATTGTTAGTTTAAAATTAATAGAAAAATTTATTTATAAAAAAGAATTTGTAAAAGTTTGCATATTGTTATTTGTGACAATTTTTTCAAATCTATTTCTAACTTTACAAATTGTTATATTATAATTTTAACTGACTGCTTTGTACTTATTTCAAATTTATAAGTATTAAGTAATAAAAATTTTATTCAGTTTTCTTTTCTTGTTATAATCTTGGAAAACTGGAGACTTGATTATTTAAAAAATTTATATTTAAAAATAATGTTTGTGTAGTTTTATGATAATTTTTAATAAGAATTTAATATTACAGAGGTGCCAGCTGTCAGTTTTTTGTGAGTTATCAGCTCATTAATGTCAAAATTTGTCCACTTTTCCTATTTTTGTTTTGCTTTTACAGTCTTTTATTTTGGCACCTTAAAGTGAATATTATTTCATAGTTGGTTAGCTGAGCTTGGATTCATCTGTATTTTCTTTTGTGCAAATGCAGGCTATCAACACTTTTGTGATGAGGTTGTCAGATGAGGGTGATTAATTTCAAAATGGGCAACACAAACAGCTAAATTGCATTTAATTAATATGCCAGTTTTTTGGAATGACATCATCCTTCTCAACACTTTCAAGTTGACAAGTCTTATGATATTAAAAAGATATTATGTAGTGGAACCATATTTTTATATTAAAAAAATTTGTTTAACATTAATTTTATTGAGTTAGAGTTTAATTTAAGTTTCAATTAAGGTTATTGACTTTCATATAATGATTTAATATCAAAAGTTATAAATGTCAGAAAATTTATATATTTTAATCATCAACAGGAAAGTAAATATATAACTATAATCTTTCAAATTCAAATCTTGATTGAAAGATAAAGAATAGAATTCTGTAACATAATTCATTATAATTAAGAAAATCATGACATTTTTACACTGTTTCCTGTCTGGTAATGAATCATCTAAATTCTCTAGTTTCCTTCTTTATAAAATTATATATACGAATCAGATTATACAGAAATTATACAGAATAATTCATATATGTATATATAACTTATATACTGTATATATAGGCCTTCGGTATTTGACACTGAAAATTTATTCGTATTAAAATGTTATTAATAGGCAGATTTTTATGTTTTAAAAATGAAATTTATAGTTTGAAGATATGTAAATATGCAGATGTATAAATTTATTTTGATTTATTTGTTAAATATTTCATGTGGAATGTGTATATGTAACAATTTTAATCGCAGTTAAACGTGAGATCAACAAATGTTTATATCAACAACCGTTTCCATTCTTATCTCTGAGGTTGAAGAATAAAACTGTGAGTCACTGGCATACTTTTAATATTCTTCACGCTTTATTCTGGTTCGCAATACTCTTCATGCTTTATTCTGGTCTTTATTAATATTCTTCACGCTTTATTCTTTGTCGATATTCTTCGTGCTTCATTCTAGTCTTTATCAATATTTTTCATGCTTTATTCTAGTCTTTATCAATTGTCTTCATGCTTTATTCTAGTCTTTATCAATTGTCTTCATGCTTTATTTCGGTCCTTATCAATATTCTTCGTGCTTTATTCTAGTCTTTATCAATATTTTCTACACTTTATTCTGGTTTTTCTCAATATTCTTCATGATTCATTCCAGATNCAGTTAAAGATTATCAATATTTTTAAAACAAAGAATATCAAATATTTTCAAACAAAGAACAAGAACTAAAGAATATCACAATCAGTAGGCTATCACATAATTAAACTGTTTTTCTTTGGTCAATAGAATGTTTTTCACGATTTATCCCAGCTGATATGAGGTGAAATCGATGGGAAATGTAATGTTTGCTTGCTCTTGCCATTCCTCCTGCTTGGGATGGATGGGGTAGTTTTAAAACTATATTTTCCATGGTGACATCACTGATATCATCCTTCTCAGGAAATATAAACTTGAAACATCCCAATATTTTTTTCATAAACTTGACTTTCAAGTCTTCATCACTCAGTTTCTCCAAAACTTTTCCCATGAAGTAAACAACAGAAGTTATTTTTTGCAAATCTGACTAAAACGATATCATTGGGCTGAACATGTTTGACGGTGTTTTTGATATCAGATCCCTCACTTGATGTTGCATCAGACATTGAGGAAGAGCTGCTTTGAGATCCTTCATCTTCACTTTCAGTTTCTTCTGGAATATGTTGCAACAGCTGCTTTTTAGATTTTGTCCTCATTGATGATGCTTCCATTAATTAATTAAATACGATGTTAATTCTGTCTCCTGCTCTGTAGTAAAAACTTTCTTGTTACCCACATGCAGTGAATACACTACATTGTCGTTTTATATTTTGAAACGAGTTTAGCCAAATGAGATTTTGCAATTCCATGGGCACTGGCTGTATCCCTGATTGATGCTTCTTTTTCAACAACTTCAATTATTGCCCCTTGAATCATTTCTGGCGTCACATGTTCTTTGTTTCTTTTTCTTATACTTTCAAGGCATTTTTTTTCTATTAAAAAAATTTAGCATTAGAACATGCCAAAAAATGTCAATATGAGCTTGAAAGAGATATGTTCCATTCATTCCCTATTTTACTGTCCCTTTCAACCCCCAGGCCTCAAACAAACAAAACTACAACTTAACTTTCTGACAGTGAAATATAATTTAAACCCAATTAATTAAAAAAATTCTAGATGTTTCAAAGTAATGAACCTGATTTAAGTACATTATCCAATGACTATGTTTGAGATTTTACCCCTAAATGTAAGAAATGAAAAAAACTTACTTTTGCATGCGTTTTCTGCTCATCTGGGCATTCCAAACACTGGTGCTATGTATTGGACCCTACAAACGTGTGTAAACTATGGACTATTAGTGTCATCTATCCGCGAAATAGCAAAGCTCCATAAGTAATTTAGCAGGAAGTTATAGAGGCTGTCCCTTTCAACCCTTGTCCCTTTCATCCCCACTCTCCCCTAAATAGAAAATAAGTAAACCTTGTCACCTGTCTTTGTAAATCTACACTTAAGTACAAAAACTTTTCATAAACTTTTTTATTTGTGAAATTTGTGTAAGCCATTAATGGCAACAAACTTTCCAAAAAACATTTTATTTTTAATTAATAGAAGAAAAATCAGATATTTGTATGATTTTGTTAAAAATCTAACTTAAAATCATTTGGATTTAGTCCATAGATTTTAAGAGAGATTAGTTTCAGGGAATATCAATATTTTGTTAATAATACTTGTTTGAAATAAGGTTTCATGTTAGAATAAGTATATATCAACTACTAGAAACCTTATCTCTCTAGATTGAAAATTATTTTATATTATATTCTATTTTTTAATGAAATCCTTACTATCTATCTGCTTGGATTTTGGAGTAAAACTTTTTTTAAAAGTTTAATGGAAATCTCTGTAAAAGTCTGGATTTAAATTCAATTCAAACTTCCTTTCCCCAGAGCAAAAACTTTTCAGACAAACACTTTTAGGCTATATGCTCATCAGGAGTCAGTATGAAAGAAGAAGAGAGGATACAAGAATACTCTAGATTATTATTTAGTGGTAATGTACCCATCTTGTTTGAGTTTTCTAAACTTTTCGCTCTGAAAAAAGCAATTTGAATTTGATTTATGTTTGAAGAAATTCTTTAACAAGTTTATAGTTTGATTTAGATTCTTTCTATTGTATATTTATAATTTTATTTAAATGAAACTATAAATTGAATAAAAATAAAATTGTGTGTTATAATATAGAACTTTTATTCATGGTAAATATAGATACTATAATATAGAAAATTCATTCATTAGAAATAGTTTTCAGTATTTAATAAAATTTTGATTAAGCAAAATATTTAATATTCAATGTAGCTTAATAAATATAACAAAATATATATTTAAAAAAGTATTTTAGTGTATAAACTTGAGTATGCTATTTGGGAACATGCTATTTGGGATTTTTAATTTTAAAGTTTTAGTCTATTCTTTTTATTTTCTGTAAAAGTTATGAAATTATGATGAATGAATGAAGTTTGAATTTTATTTTATGCTTATTTTTTTTATTTCTATTCTGAACTTTGATTTTTAACTTTAACAATTGTTAATTCATTGTAATTTCAATATGGACTTCATTATTGAGCTCTATATAGGCAGCTTCTTCTTCTTTTCAGTTTAACATTTTAAAAACAAAAATGTTTGTTTATTTTTTGATGTTTTATAAATTTATTTATTTATTTATTTTTATTTTTTGTTACATAGGTGACCTCCATGTTGTTATGGAGAATAGCCATCGGCAGTCACCATCCAGTATATGTCTTGTGTGCCCTGAAGCAGATTGTAATTCCAATGGTTGTATGGAGAACCATAGACAGCCTAATAGTAACTGTCATCAGATGACTAATAATGAACCTGTAAGCAAATCATATACAGGAAAATTAACACCTGTTTTGCATGGCATAGATTATAAGTGGTAAGAGTAATGATAAATTTGTCCTTTTTTGGAAGTTATTTTGACCATGTTGTCTTTGATGTGTGTGACAAGAGAGACATTTATTGTGATGCAAGTGTCTTTGTAGATAATGTGATGTGGTTTTTGTTACATATTACCCACTTTCCAAGATTATATCTCATTTTGAGAGAGTTTTGTTTCTTACCGTATATGATTATTAATAAAGTCATGTCACAAAAGAATATTCTTGAACAGCATAAATACACTATATTAATGTGTATTATATACAAAGATATATAAAAATACCTAGGGAGAATATGTAAACTATTACAGTTAATAATGCATTATAAGAAAATCTAATGATCTAAAAAACATTATAAGTAGTATGTTACTTGAATTATTAGGAAAAAGTTATTAATAAGTTTCAAGTTAGTTTTATGAAAATTAAATTCTAAGAGATTTTCATAAAGGAGGAATTGTTTATCTCTGAATATAACATTTCATTTTTCTTAGTTAACCTAGTGATTCAGAGTTCAACAAACAATATTCCTTTTCATAATTGTTCAAAAATATTAATTATTTTGCTATATTATTAAAATTATTAAGATAATACATTATGCTATTAGATTGAACAAAGCAAATAAAAATGTACAAATGCTAAATGGATTAAGATGGGATTGAGAAATTTTCTCTATCACAATGCATTATAGCAAATTATGCATATGTTGTCAAATCATGACTTTGAGGAGGACCACATCATATTTACTCACTTGTGTCTATCATGTTAAAGCCCTACCAAAAAACATAAAATAAGATGCATAATTAACAGAGGACAGTCTCATTTGTAAGGACTTTGTAGTCACTCTATATATAAACAATATAAGAAAACAATATGATATAAAAAAATAATACTTGGAATTTTCATATTTGTTTTTTTTTCTTTAAAGAAAAACATATAACAGAAGTTGCAATTCTGTCTCTCATTAAATAATTCATTTGAATAATGATATAAAAATAAAATGAATGCATAATTTTAAATTGAAAACAATAATCAATAACATATATGTGAAATTTCCATATGGAATATCATTTACTAAAAAAGAATATAGTATTTCAATTCAATAGATAATTAACCATTTTGATTTTTTAAAGTAATTTTAATGAGATATGGACATAAAATTATTTCAAAACAATTTTGATTTAAAGAAGCTTCTCAATAGCTGTGGTCTAATTATTGTAATTAATTTTAAAAAAAAGCATAAAAAATTAATTTTTTTACCTGAGAAAGTTATTCACTACAAAATCATTTTAACAATAAAATATTTGCTGAAGGACAAAATTAAAATTGCATTATTATTTATCCAGAATATATAATACACAAAATATAANTTGATTGCTTCTGATGATAAATGGGAATTGAATAAAACGTTTAACATTGTTGGCTTTTAAATATATTTTGTTTTTACTTCACTGAACTAAAATAATGTTTAGTTATTTAAACTAATTGAGGGTTATGTAAATAACTGATATGTTGAATTAAAAATTTAATAGTTATTCTATGTAAAGAAATAGTAATGTATTTTTTTTATTTTGGATATTTTATTTCATTAATAGTAATTAAAAATTTAATTACAGGGATTCACAGCAATTGTCTGGCCAATGTCCTACAAGTATCTATTCTGTTTCTCTAAATCAAAAAGAAATCAATTATGAGGATTTGTCAAAAAATATTGACGCCAATTTGGCAGAGATTGACATGGAAACTTTTCGATCAGAAGACATTCATTCCATTCTTGCACTTCCTGTTATGTATAGTGGAGATTTCCAGTCAGCTACAAATGGAGAACAGTGTGCCTCTGTTTCTGGATCATTATTAGGAGGCCTAGAGTTAGATTCTTCTATCAGGTATTTGTTTTAAGAAAATTAATTTAATAATATAAACAATCTATGAAGATTTATTTCTTATGCTTCTATTCTGTTTTGTTTAAATTTCAATATGTAATTGGTTCAAACACTGTTATTTTCTAGGAATTATCACATCCAACAGACTCCAAAAAGAATTATTAAATTCCATAACAGTTTTTACTAAAAATTTAAGTAACACAATAAAATGACTTAAGTAAATAAAATTAACTTCAGGCTTATTTGACTATTTTAGTTTTATAAAAGGCATTGAAAATTGTAGGATGTGTGCTTTATTTACACTATGATGCAATAGATTATTTTTTTGTCACAAATTCCATAGATAATATGTTGACTTTTGTCATTACTTTTTTGTAAAGTTTTAATAAATAATTTGGTTTGAAGCTGAGAAAAAATCAAAACTTTTGAAATAAATAATTGAATAATTAGAGAGAGCAGGAAATATTTACTTTTCATATATGTGTTCTATGAAATTTCTTAATCCTGATTTAAAACATTCTTGTTTTTTTAATCATAAGAAATAGTTTAAGATAAACAATATAAATCATAAAATATATTTTCTGTCCTATCTAATTATCTGTTTTACTAAATTTTATTTAAATTACTAAACTTAGTAATTAAAATATTTCATTATTTTAACTACTTATGATAGATATATGCTAGACTACTATAAACTTGGTGATAAGTATTATTTATTAACATATTAAATCAAACTAATAATTTTATCAAAACTTACAAGATTATAATTGGATTAAGTTATTTAATGATTTGATAATTCAGAATAATTTAATAAAATTTCTCTAAATTTTAAAATTACCAATGGATTCATACCTGTGCACAGACAAATTTATTAAATAACTTAATCCAGTTATAATCTGTTAATTTTTAATGAAATTATTAATGTTTGATATTTAGAATAATCAGGATTGTAGTAATTATTTGTATTTAGTTCTTGAATGTCACTAGTTGAGCATTAGTGAAAAAATATCATAAATGAAAATATTCTTACTAAATGTGATAAAAACAAATGCAGAAAGTTTTTTATAAATGAAAATTGATTTCAGAGATGAGTAATAATGCAAATTTCATTTAAATTAATACTTGTATATAAAGATGTAGTTAAGACTGGTATTAAATAATTGTTTAATTTCTTGTTGCGTTATTAATTAACTTTTGCATATCATGTATTTTAACGTTAATCTATTATCACAAAACAGAAATGGAAAAGTTAATTTAAAATAAAAATTTCTCATTCAATTATTAGTTAGGTGCTGTAACCACTTGCATATCATACTTACAATGCAATTAATATAATTTATAAGTCTAATGAAATCATTATAGATTATTTTATTGATAACTAGCAGACCCCGCCACGCCTTGTTGTGGCTCAAAATGTATCTATTATAAATGTATAACACTTCCCCCGTGGGGGGGAATTTTTTGAAAAATTTCTTCTTAGTGTACATTCTCTTGACGTACCCTATTAAAACGCAATCAAAAACACGAAAACCCGCATCTAAAATAGTATAATAGAGGCCAAGTTCTTCACAGTAAGCCTTAATTCTGTCCCTCTCCCCCGTGGGGGATATCGAAAAATCCCTTCTTAGTGTACATTCTGTTGACGTACCCTATTAAAACACAATCAAAAACGCAAAAAATTGCATCTAAAATAGTATAAATAGAAGCAAAGTTCTTTACGGCAAGCCTTTCCTGTAAGGCTTACCATAAAGAACTGTCCATCTCCCATGTTTAACGGAATAATATACAGCCTATGTCCTCCCTGAAGTTTCATTCTAAATATTGGTGAAAGAATTTTTGAAATTGGATGAGTAGTTTTAGAGATTACCTGTGCATACAAACTTACATACATACAAACATTACCTCTTTATAATATTAGTATAGATCTATATTTAATACATAAATTTTTTCAATATATCAGTCAATTTCTTTTATTTTGACATTTTATAATAATAAATTCAATAAATGCTTTAGTCATTTAAATTTACCTGTGCAAATTTTTTAATAAAAATTGATTAATAATTTTGGTGAAAGTAAAGTTTTTTTTTTATAGTTAGTCAGTGAACTACAGTTCCTATATTTTAGAATATACAAGGCAGTCAAAAAGAAGTTAACTGAAATGTATTTTAAGATTATTTAAGAATAGTCAAATAGGTTTAGAATAACTGCATGATTAAAATGCTTCATGGAAGCAACATAAATTATGAACTTGTAACAAACTTAAAATATATCAGAGTAAACTGACTTTTGAACCAACTTGTAGATGATGTAACTTTTGTATGAAAGTACAGTATATTTTCTTAAAATTTAAATTATAATATTTACTATACTTTTATTGCAAAAATTACTCAAATAAATATGCTAAGTTTGTTTGATTTATAATAATTTAAGAAATTGGATGGTGTTCATCATATCAGAAGATTCCANAATAAATTCAATAAATGCTTTAGTCATTTAAATTTACCTGTGCAAATTTTTTAATAAAAATTGATTAATAATTTTGGTGAAAGTAAAGTTTTTTTTTTATAGTTAGTCAGTGAACTACAGTTCCTATATTTTAGAATATACAAGGCAGTCAAAAAGAAGTTAACTGAAATGTATTTTAAGATTATTTAAGAATAGTCAAATAGGTTTAGAATAACTGCATGATTAAAATGCTTCATGGAAGCAACATAAATTATGAACTTGTAACAAACTTAAAATATATCAGAGTAAACTGACTTTTGAACCAACTTGTAGATGATGTAACTTTTGTATGAAAGTACAGTATATTTTCTTAAAATTTAAATTATAATATTTACTATACTTTTATTGCAAAAATTACTCAAATAAATATGCTAAGTTTGTTTGATTTATAATAATTTAAGAAATTGGATGGTGTTCATCATATCAGAAGATTCCAGTAATAAACTTGGTTATCATCAGTGGCTAATAACTAATAAACTTAATGTCTTACATGAACAGTTCGAGAATTTATTACTATTCAAGTTTGGTTGTGTTACAAAGTATATTATATAACATAAAATAATTTTGTATTAAGTAATAAACAAAATTATCCTTTTACATTACAGCAGTTAGCTTCCCATTGAAGATTCCCATTCAGTGGGAAACTAACTCTTATCATGTAAAAAAAGTTTTGATTGCTTCTGATGATAAATGGGAATTGAATAAAACGTTTAACATTGTTGGCTTTTAAATATATTTTGTTTTTACTTCACTGAACTAAAATAATGTTTAGTTATTTAAACTAATTGAGGGTTATGTAAATAACTGATATGTTGAATTAAAAATTTAATAGTTATTCTATGTAAAGAAATAGTAATGTATTTTTTTTATTTTGGATATTTTATTTCATTAATAGTAATTAAAAATTTAATTACAGGGATTCACAGCAATTGTCTGGCCAATGTCCTACAAGTATCTATTCTGTTTCTCTAAATCAAAAAGAAATCAATTATGAGGATTTGTCAAAAAATATTGACGCCAATTTGGCAGAGATTGACATGGAAACTTTTCGATCAGAAGACATTCATTCCATTCTTGCACTTCCTGTTATGTATAGTGGAGATTTCCAGTCAGCTACAAATGGAGAACAGTGTGCCTCTGTTTCTGGATCATTATTAGGAGGCCTAGAGTTAGATTCTTCTATCAGGTATTTGTTTTAAGAAAATTAATTTAATAATATAAACAATCTATGAAGATTTATTTCTTATGCTTCTATTCTGTTTTGTTTAAATTTCAATATGTAATTGGTTCAAACACTGTTATTTTCTAGGAATTATCACATCCAACAGACTCCAAAAATACTAGCCAATCAACAGCTTTATTTAATTTAGATACATTTCAGAAATTATAATATTTCCCTCCTCAGTGGGTTTTCTTTCATACAAGCTAAGCAAGGCATAAACACTTTATCAATACTCTCACAATTTTTCAATTTTTCTACTGTTTGACTAGTATCATATTAAAAACATTTTTTCTGTGTTTTTTTTGTTTACCATGCTTCATTAACCAATGCATTTGGGGAAAATAAAATTGTTGATTGGATAATACTTTTGATGTCTGTGGATTGTAAAGTACTATATTATTTTTCCGACTTTCCAACGATTATCGACACTACTGTGTGCCGGAAATAGCCGTTCCCTAACGGGTACTTTACGCGGATTCGCGTTAGTGTGCCAGGCCTGGACTTTAAGCGTGCACCGAATTAAATAATGACAAAGTTTGTCAATAACAAAATCAAATATTTAATTAAACTTCTA